TAGAGAAACTTACATCAAGCCTCGGAGATTAAGTTTTATCTTAGTTCAGCTTATCATCTCAAATTGATGGACAATTAGAAAGAATCATCCATTCTTTAGAAGATTTGTTGAGAGCATGTATGCTAGAGGATTTTGGTAGTTGAGATCTGTACTTGCCATTAATTAAATTCACTTACAACAATAATTTTCGTTCTAGCATAGGTATGAAACCCTATGAGATATTGTATGAGAGGTAATATACAACACCTTTATGATGTTAGTTTGAGACTGGAGAAAATTTAATCTCAGGTCTTGACATAATTCAACAAATAATGGAGAAAATTAAGATGATTCCAAAAAAAATTAAAAATAACTCAAAATTGACAGAAAAGTTATGCTGATAAAAAAACGTTGACCCCTTAAATTCCAAGAAGGTGATTATGTATTCTTGAAGGTAACACCAACAATTGGAGTTGGTAGAATAATAAAATCGAAGAAACTCACTCCTTGATTTATTAGTCCTTATCAAATTCTTAGAAAAATAGGTTATGTTGTTTATTAAATTTTTTTACCTCTTTCCTTTCTAACCTTCATAATATGTCATGTAATTAAGAAAATATATTTTTTTATCTTTCTCATGCAATAATATCGGATACAGTATAATTAAAACATAATCTTATATTTGAAACAATATATGTGCGAGTACAAATACAAAGATCAAGCAATCGAGAGGAAGACAAATTTCACTAGTAAAAGTTGTTTAAAATAAAATCACTAGAAATGTTACGTGAGAATTAAAGAAGAAAACAAGAGAATGTCATCCTCATTTATTTTAGTAAATAAAAATTTTGAAAAGTATGAGAGAAATGTAACATCTTAAAATTTATCATGTAAAATTTTTCAAATATAATGTATTAAATTATAATACTTTTAGATATTTAAATATTAAAAAAAACTCATTTATAAAAAAATAAAATATATTATTAGTAATAAAAGGATAAAAACTATTATTATTAAATTAAAATAATATTTAAGTTATTAAAAAATAAAAATTTAATTAGTTAATTAACTATATATATATATATATATATATATATATATATATATATATATATATATATATATATATATATATATATATATATATATATAAGGAAGATAAGATAAGAATCTTTCAAGAGACAAGGAGAAGAAAAAGAAAACTTAAAACTAATACAGGAGAAAGAGACGTTTATTATTATTATTTTTATTTTATTTCTGGTCATGGAATGAAGTATTTCTAATTTCATTCTATTTATTTTTTTTATATTTTATTTACCTCTAGTTACATACTAGTCATGTGTTATATTTGTTTACTTTATCGTTAGTCTTACACTTGATCTTATTTTAATTTATTTATTTGTCTCAAGTTGCACATTGGTTATATTTTATTTATTTCTAGTTACACACTAGTTTTATTTATTTTATTTCCAGTTATATAATAGTCCTTGTTTATTAATTTATATTTGTATTATTTAATTATTTTTAAGTAATAATATCTATTTATAAAAATTTGATGATATTATAGACAAAGGTTGGACTTAGGGATTAAAAAGAGTAAATATCTTTAAAAGAGTGATTAAAATTAGGTATATATATCCTGATTAATAACTACAAATTTAATTTAAATCTTCATAATAACAAGTAAATAGAATATATTGAAGAAACTAAAAAATAAATTTTATATATTATGAGATTGTATTATTTTAAATAATAGTTATTTTTACTTCCCTATTATTATTTCTTACCATTAAAATATCAACATAAATAAATGTACACGTCAACATGTAAGATACACATCATTAATAAACCAACCACTATTAAAAGAAATTTTTTATCAATTTTAATAATTATTTCTAATATAAAATAATGTAAATATAAACTTATAAAATTTAAATCTTTATATAAATATATAAGTTTTATTTTATATTTTACTTTTATTAAGATTTAATAAAAAAATTGGTCACACCTTGTCCATTTATAAATATTAAAGAATTCAAAACCGAATCAATAATAATAATAATAAACAAAAACCTATCAAAATCAATATTTATTTGGAATTTTAATCTACCCTTCCAACGTAAACTTTCCTCTTCTTATCAACCTCTGGCTTAAACGAGTATACAAAAGTTTTTTACTTGATTGGTTGTCCTCCCCAAATCCTCCCTTAATCAAATACAACCTTTTGAAAACGGTTACGGTTTTTAAATATATATTTTTTATACAAGAGGTATATTTGATGATGAAATTTTTCTCTCACGTCTATTTAATTCATATAAAATAAAAATATAACAAAAAAATATTAAATATTAATAATATATAGATATTTATTATCTAAATAATATTTTTTTATTATAAAACATAATAAAAATATTTTAATATCTAATTTAAATAAAAAAATATTAAAACAATATTCCTAACCCTTAACTATAAATAGTACACCATCTTTTTTTTTTTTTAATTTAGTGTGAATACCATAAAAATCACCAATGTAAAATGTCTCATGTTATATGTATGACATGTATCTTTGTTATGAGAATTGGTGTAATAAAAAAGAACCTATTCCAAGGAGACGATGAAGCCTATTTACAAGGCCTTTTTCACCTGATTTCATGTTAAGAAAAGTAAATAAATTATGAAGGAGCGTCTCCTATTAGTGGTATGAGGTTGTTCAAGGTAATCATTGAAAAGGAAAATTCTGCAGAGAGTAGCGAAGATATTAGCAGGTGAAATGACAAAACTAGAGAAGAAGAGGCAATATGAGATATGACCATATTTCACCATTGTTCTTGACACAATTCTTAAATAGAAATTAGAATTACTGTCTGATACAGTAATTTTTGTAAGCAAATTTTGGTGGAAGAAATAACTACCTGTCTGCAGTCAATCTTAAAGAAGAGTGCATACTATAAATTTATAATTTAATTGTGATTTTAGTTTTATCATTTTTATTTTATTTTATCAATAAAAATTCAGTTAAAAATTTTAAATAAAAAAGTGATAACTTTCTATTTAATTAATAATATAATCATTGTAGCAAATAAATATTAACATTCTAGTTTATGCATAACACAATTTATTTATAATTAACATACAGTGATCATTTGTAAAATCAACAGTATTAATTATGACGGAGTTACATGGTTACATTTTTAAAATTAGAAGGACTTGATTAAATTTTAAATTAGATATACTATTGCACTTTTACAATACAGAGACATAGTTGATATTTTTTTCTTTAAATAAATGTGAAATCAATCAAATTTTATAATTTTCAGTCAAAATGTCGCTAACATTTATAGTGTTTTATGTAAGAAAGAAACAAGAATAAGACATAAGGTATTAATGATGATGCAGTGAACAAACATTGTAATTTGAATGGACTGCTTTGTGGTCCTAAAAATAGCAAATGTGACTGTCTGTCGATTTTCATTGATGGAGCATGTCCAATTATTACCGTACAACACTCTCATGTCATATTCTTCTTCCCAATATTATTTTAAAAAAACTAAAAACTTAAAACATTTATAATATAAACTAGTTACAAATTAAATAAAGAGTAAATATAAAAAATAATTAATATTGATTGAACTTTAAAAATAACAATTAAAATAAAAATATTTTAAAAATTTAATAATAGATTACAAATATAAAGGATATAACTATTTATTAAGTATTTGTTTGGATTTAGATTTAGATGTAAAAGCAGTGAAGAATCTACTCTTATCTTATTTGTTTTGATTTAAAAGTGCAAAAGTATTGTTTTTTGAGAAAGAAAAAAATTGTTTTTTTATTTTATTTCATTTTTAATGTAATGTATTAAATTTTATAATTTATATATATTATGTTCCTTTTTATTCTGAAATAATCAACTACATCTGTTATAAAGTTTTATTTTGCAAGAAGTATGACAATATGGTATTTATAGATTGTTACATTAATTTCAATTAATTCTACGTAAAACATTCACTTTGTAACATGTTCATTTTACGGTACCCTAACCTTGGAATTGTTACAGTGGTACTACGCGTGTTATGTATTTATTATGTTTTCTCAAAGTTTTGTTCACATAACCATGGCCATAGCCTTACACTGATACTTCCATAAATTCTGGAGAAAATCCAACCAAACAGATCTAAATAGGATATGAGTATTTTAGACCATGGGTAATTTCAATTATTGATTATAACACATATAATTGATCGTTCAAATCATATAATTTTCGCGTTTTAGATTTACAGTTTAAATTTTGTTATATTCACTGTCTATAAAAAAATGTCTAATGCATCATTTTATTAACTGGAATATATAGAAAATTCTAAAAAATTGAACCATACTTTTCTTTATCTTATTTAAAGAACTTTAACCATTATGTTATAGTTTAAATAAAATTTTATTAATAGAAGAAAATATGTTAAAAGAGAGAAATTATTTAAGAACAACGCTTCCAATAATTTAGGGTAAGTTTTCTTTTTAATTAGTTAAAAATGTTATATATATATATATATATATATATATATATATATATATATATATATATATATATATATATATGAATGAATGAATAAATATAGAGATATTCTTCATCGTTATTTTTATTTTGATTAAATAAAAATCAATAATAAGAATAAATAATAAGTGAATACTTTTTATATTAAGGGAGAAAAATAATATATTTACTAAAAGAAATTAGCTGATATTGATCAATAATTAAAACTAAAATAATATATGAATCTATAATTAAAATTATTAAATTTTTATGAAGAATGAGATAAAAAACGAAGTTAAAATATGAGAATATAAGATTTTTTTCTAAATTTTATTATTTAATACTATACTTCAATTTTTTCTTTATTATTATTATTATTATATATAATTTTCTAATACAGAGATATTGGATTACAGCATATTAGAAATAACTTTCTAATATAGAGATATTGTTAAATGTTTTATTGAAATGATAGGTTTTACAGACAAGTCAATCAAAGACCGAAGAAACAATGGTGAAAAGCTTCACCAAAGTAAGGAGTGCATAGATCAACACTGTTAGCAAAAGAAAAGGTGCTCTCAAAATCATCTGCCATAAACCCCTCATGCATGCTTGAAAAGTCCATTAGATCATCACTCCAACAACTTTCATAGACAAGCTTGTTACCTTCCCCACTGGTCCCCTTTGATGCACTATTGCAATTACCCTCTGTTTCAACTATAGGCATACATTTTGGGATGACACAAACTTTGTTTTTTTGAACACCAAGCTTCTTGCTTAAATGAGTGTTCCAAAAGTTCTTCACTTGATTGTCTGTCCTTCCCGGGATCCTCCCCGCGATCAAAGACCACCTTAACAAAATAATGCACAATCTTCTTTAATTTATTGTGAAATACCATAATAATCACCAATATAAAATGTCTCATGTCGTATATATGACATATATGATTTACTGTTATAAGAATTGGTGTAATAAGTAAGAACCTATTTCCAAGGAGATTGTGAAGCCGAATTACAAGGTCTTCCTCTTCCTCTGAGAAATCTCCACGCTTAACCTCAGGAGTTAGATAATTCATCCACCTTAGTCTGCAACTTTTGCCGCTTCTCTTCAACCCTACAATCAAAATGAGAAATTAAACAAGAACTAACATATATAAAAGTCACATGATCTGCAAATTAATATACACACAAACACACACCTGTTACTTTAGGGATCCGGTTCCACTTCCCCTTTCCATGCTTCTTTACGTAATTGATTAGAACCGTGTCTTCCTCCGCATTCCAGAGCCCTTTCTTACGTTCATACTCGTAAGATTCAGTTGTTGCCATGTTCAAGCACTGGCTCTCTCGTTAGCTTAAGTCCTTGTAAGGGATTGCAAAGTAACTAAAATAAGAAGAGAGGTTTTGAATGGAATCAACGTTCTTGCTCTTTTAGCAAAAAACTTTTAAACAGAACTGCCGCATTACAGTGTATACAATATCTCGTATATATATGGCACGAGTCCTAGGGTTCGCAAACTTCGCATTTAATTTTTTAATCCCTCAAAACTGGTTCCCAAGCCAATCAAATTTAATGTGTTTGAAATTAAAAAAGTGTCATTTATATCTCTAAACAATTAATTTGAAAAACTAAAATAGTTTTTTTTTTTTTAAATTAAAGTTTCAGATATGATGTTCATCGTTTAAGTTTTAGAATTTAAAAGATAAGATTTATACTTTATATTATTTTTAGTTCATAAATTTAGTATTTAGATATTACAAATATTTTAACTTTAATAAATCATTTTTTTTGTTTTAAATTTAAAATTAAAAATATTTTACCAAAATATTTTTTGACAGAGAGGTAACTATTATTGATTTATTGAAATATTCATTTACAAAATGAATTTTAACACGTGCTTTTAATAGTAAATTTTCGTACACATAAATTTGAGATGAAATCTTAGATGATGCATTTAAAAATAATTTTGTTAACGAATGGTGTATATAGCATTATTGTACTGATAGAATTGGCATTTAATGACTGCAAGATAAAGCCACGCATCACCGCTCCGTGGTGTACGCACCAGCGCTGAGGGAAGGTGTAAATATGGAAAGATTGGTATACGTACTAAACAAAAATATCAATGACATGCTTCATGTGAGATAGAAATAGAAGCAACAAACATGAGAGACGAACATAAGAGTGTTTTTGGGAGAGAAGATGCATAAATAAATAAAGAAAAAGTTAAAGGATAGTTATAGGTAGATCATATTTGGAGGTTGAATTTGATAGGAATGAGAGGAAATTATTGAGCAACATAGATATAGTTTTGGGGAGAGAGTAAGTAAGAGAGGAGAAGATGGCATAAGAGAGTAATAATGGTGCAGTGACAGAAGAAGAACTGTGTAGTATGTTTTGTGGGCAGAAAGATGGCAATTGTGTCTGTGTTGTTGAGTTGGCATTAGATGGTGTAAGTGAGTCCGTGAATGAATGAATGGCCTTCGTATTCTTTCACTAATCTTTGGGAAAAGGACACACTACGGCATGCAGTGTATTTTGTAGCGATGTGCATGCACCCTATCACGCTCTTCTACCATGTACTCCATGACAAGATTGTCACATTGTTTTTTACCCGACTCCAATTCTTCCTTCTTCTTTTACAGAGATATCAACTATAACATAAATCATTATTATGAAAAAAATTACGCATGCACCTCGCTTTTACCCATTTTTCATTTCCTTTCCTTTTTTTTTTCGTTGTTACCTTCTTGGGGTTGCTCACTTCCCAAAAAAAATTATATAATTATAAAAATTTTAAAATTAAATAAAAATATTTTTAAATTTTAAAATATAGTAATTATATTTTTATTTTTTATAAAAAATAGTAATAATAATTATAATAAATATTTTTTATACAATTATATATATATATATTCACATTTTTTATTTTTTACTCTCATTTTTATACTCACTCTAACATATTTTTTATTTTTATCTTTTTTTGGTTGCATTTCTTCTATTTATTCAATTTATTTAATACTACAATATATTAATATGTATATTATTTGTTATGAATTAATTGGTTATTTTAATATTTTATGATGTTGGATTTTGATGTTAAAAATGTAAAAAAAAAACATTAAATTTTAGAGATAGATTTATTTTTCATAAAAAATATATATAATAAATTTTAACTTATTAAATTTAAATTTTACAAATAATATGACAAATATTATTAAATAACTTAAATTATGTAATAATTAATAATTTTTATATTATAAAATTACATTAAATACAAATAAATATAATTAGTTATATATATAAAAGAAAAAAATTGCTATAAATGTCTGTATTTATACTTTTATGTTATTAAAATATTTTTTAAAAGTTTATTCTTTTCTATTTTTAAATGTGTTTATTTTTTTACTCGTTATATTATTATTTTTTTCAATTTTTTTAATAATTTGTAAATACATAAATCATAAATTATCTTTTAACTATTTTTTCATATCATACGTATAGTACTTTTTTTTCTTTTTTTATTACATAAAATGATTATAAAAAAAATTATATTATGTTATGTATATAATACTTTTCAAAAATAGGTTTAGGACTATGATTTTAATGGATTGGTTTGCCTGAGAAGTTTTTTACTTATTTTTTTTTACGATGGAGAATTGATGCTCTAAGATTTGTCAGAGAGTAAGTTTATCTCTTTCCTCTCGCACTTTTGTTTGTATATTCTTTAGTTTTTTATGTTCATGAGTTCAAGTGCATGGATCTTAATGTCACTATATAAAAATTATAAATTAGAGTGTAAAGTTAGATTATTTAAATTAAATGAGACACATAATAAAGAATTAAAATAATAGTAAACATACAATTTATTTAAAAAAATATAATTAATTATATTATGATAATTATAATATCCTTGAATTATCGCATTAATTTAAACATGTAAACTATTTTCTTTTTTAAAATTATATGCTCATAGATTTTGCAAATAGATGGATAATTCCTTAAATATGTTGATATTTGTTCAAAATAACCTGTATATAGTAAATCATTGAATGTTGAACCTGCAAATAGAAAAATAACGATTATGCTCCCATTAAATTGAATGCAACATCTAAACGTATGTTCTGTTCTGTTGAACAAAGAGGGTTGTCGGTCAAAGGTTTCACGATTATTTAATATAAAAAATAAAAATATTTTTCTGTTAATAATAAAATATAGTATGATTTTCCTGATTGAGAAAGATAGAGAAATTAATTCTGTAGTGTACATTAGAAATTAATAGGCTTTGGATTCTTATATAGGTTGTTTTTAACTCTTCTTGTATCTTCTGTACACAATACGGATGTCTCTTTTGTACCGATATATGCATCCACATTGTTTTTATCGATTCTCTTTCCCTTCTTTCTTTCTTTTTTTCTTCTTTGTCACGTTCTACCTTCTTCCCATGGAGACATATACTCTCTCTGGTCTAGACAGTAAGAATAAAAGAAACACAGCAAAAAAAAATTTCACTGGAAGAAAAGAATAAAAAAGTGAAATGTAATTCTAAGTTGTTTCCAAGAGTAAAAAAAAAGAAGATTTTTAAATAGTTCATCAATAAATAATATTTTTTATGGATCTTACAACTTTTCGGTCTGGAGTGTAATCAAACTAGAGGCTTGGGACTTTCACTTTTGCATTGCACTCTTACGTCAGCAAAGAGTCATCTAGTTTGAACAATTTAATGCTACATCACGTGTAAGAATAATGTCATACTCCAGGGAAATGTTTTTTTTAATTATTATTTTAGGTACTTTATATTTTAAATATTATTTTTATTATATTAATTAATAGTTTTTATTCAAACAATTATAATTAATAACAAGAATCGAGAAGTTTTGTTAAAAACTGGTCAGAAAATCAAAACTATCAAATCTTGTGTAAGAAGTACACATTGTGGTGTCATAGTTGCATAAACTGAAAATATATTTAAATTTATATAAAATACTTTTATTGTATTTGTTAAATTAAAAAAATATAACTTTTAATTAATAGTGTGTATATTATAGTTTCTAATTTTGAAAAATATTAATATTAAAGGTACTGTGAAACCGTTCTGTAACATTAAATGGTACCATTGTAGTCCAAAAGAAGAGCTGAAGCTCATTATGGTTGGCATGATAGTGTTGGGATCTGAAAAGGATAGAACTGAAATACCGACTCAGATCCCCAGTACCGTCTACCAATCTACAAAGAAACTGCATTGTGGAGGTCAAAATTCAGAAATTAACTTTAATTTTAAATATCAATTTATTATATAATATTTGAATGAATCAGATTTAGACACGATACTTTCTTTTACTCTTATTTTGACATGTTTTATAAAAAATTTATAATTGATTTTAAGCATCTTATTATCAGTTAGAATTAGTTTTTTGGTATATAAATTAAGATAACAATTTTAACAAAAATATATTATTTTCAGAAATTGATTTTAATTAACAAAACCATCCATGTATTTCAAACTCAGATGCGGATTCTGCGTTTTGAAGAAAATAATTAAAAAGTGTTTATTTAAAAGCTGTATGAGTAATTTTTTGTTAATTAACAATAATGCATGGACCATTCGTAAGTGAAATCAGGAAAATGTTAAGAAGGAATACAAAATATTTTATGCAGAATATGATGAGAATGTGGTATTAATAGATTGTTACAGTAATTTCAATTAATTCTACGTAAAACATTCACTTTGTAACATGTACGTTGTAAGGTACCCTAACCTTGGAATTGTTACAGTGGTACTACGCGTGTTATGTATTTATTATGTTTTCTCAAAGTTTTGTTCACATAACCATGACCATAGCCGTACACTGATACTTCTATAAATTCTGGACAAAATCCAACCATACGAATCTAAATTGGATTTGAGTATTTTAGACCATGGGATAATTTCAATTAGGTTATGGAAAATATTGTTTGATAATTGCTAAGTGTGTCTGATAAAATAAGCTGATTTTATTAGGGGATTTGTAATTTATAATATTTTTTAATTACTCTTTCAACTTCATATATATATATATATATTTTTTTTTTTTTGTTAGGTAAATATATTTTCTACCCAACCAAATTTTTTAATTCTCTTTTTTTATTAAACTTACCTAAAAAATAAATGTTGATTATAAGACATATAATTGGTTGTTCAAATAATATAGTTTTCGAGTTTTACATTTACAGTTCAATTTTTTATATATTCATTGTTTAAATATACAAAAAGGTTTAATGGATCATTTTAAACATTTTTTATTAACTAGAATATATCGAAAATTATAAAAAATTTGGACCATAATTTTCTTATCTTATTTAAAACACTTAAACCATTATTTTATAGTCTAAATAAACTTCGTGTAGAAATATATTAAAAAGGAGAACTATTAGATGATTAAGAACCACCATGCCTACTATTTTTCACATGGATAAGAAGTTTTCTTTTGAAAAAATAAAATAAATAAAAATATATATATATATATATATATTATTTTTTATATTTATTATGGTTAATATAAATATTATTCCAATTAATTATTTTAATATATATTATTATAATAATGTATAATATATATATATATATATATATATATTATTTTATTATATATAATATTATTTTAAAGATATAATAATTAACATTAAATATAAATTATTAAGTATCGGTAAGAGTTTTATAATTAAGTTATTTATATTTTTTAGAGATGTTAAAAAAAAACTCATCCAGATAGATTTCAAAGTATTTATGATATATTTAAGCTCTTTATTAGACTAATTATTTCTTATAATTTTTTATAATAATTTAAATATTTAAAATAATAATTTATCTTAATTATTATATTAAAAAATAAACAGTTAAAATGAAAAAATATAATTTAAGAATAAGTGAATCTTTGATTAAAAGAGAAAATAAATTTATTTATTAAAATAGTAAAAATTAGAAATTTACTATTTAAGAGTATCGTTTCATGGATACCCCATCTCTAATTTTTTACTGTCTCATCACATCATAACTATTATAATATTCATATTTTCTTCAATCTCACGAGGTCAAATAGGTGATTTTTACCTTGGTGTCTATTTATCATTTTCCTTATATTTATATTATTTAATATTATATATATATATATGTATATATTAATATTTTTTATTATTTGTCGTCTGTTCTCAGATGATCATCACTCTAGAAATAAGTTTGGAGGAGCACTTGATAGAGAAAAATTAATGATTCGTGGAGATATTTTATTGAATATATAGTGTTTACGGCCAAGTCAATCAAAGACCGAACCGAAGAAACAATGGTGAAAAGCTTCAGTGAAGAAAGGAGTGCACAGATCAACGCTATTAGCAAAAGAAAAAGAGCACCCAATATCATCTGTCATAAACCCCTCATGCATGCTTGAGAAGTCCATTAGATCATCACTCCAACAATTTTCATGGACAAGCTTGTTAGCTTCGTCACTCGTCCCCTTTGATGCACTATTGCAATTATCATCTGCCTCAACTGTACGCGTACATTTTGGGGTGACCCAAACTTTGCTCTTTTTCTTCTTATCGTCACTAAGCTTCTTGCTTAAATGAGTGTTCCAAAAGTTCTTCACTTGATTGTCTGTCCTTCCCGGAATCCTCCCCGCAATCAAAGACCACCTTAACAAGTGCACCATCTTCTTTAATTTATTGTGAGTACCATAATAATCACCAATGTAAAATGTCTCATGTCGTATATATGACACATGATTTACTTTTATAAGAATTGGTCTAATAAGAAAGAACCTGTTTCCAAGGAGATTGTGAAGCCGAATTACAAGGTCTTCCTCTTCCTCTGAGAAATCCCCACGCTTAACATCAGGAGATAGATAATTCATCCACCTTAGTCTGCAACTTTTGCCGCTTCTCTTCAACCCTATAATCAAAATGAGAAGAAATAACATATATAAAAGTCACATGATCTGCAAATTAATATACACACAAACACACACCTGTTACTTTAGGAATCCGGCTCCACTTCCCCTTTCCATGCTTCTTTACGTAATTGATTAGAACCGTGTCTTCCTCCGTATTCCAGAGCCCCTTCTTACATTCATACTCGTAAGATTCAGTTGTTGCCATGTTCAAGCACTGGCTCTCTCGTTAGCTTAAGTCCTTGTAAGGGATTGCTAAGTAACTAAAATAAGAAGAGAGGTTTTGAATGGAATCAACGTTCTTGCTCTTTTAGCAAAAATCTTTTAAACAGAACTGCCACATTACAGTTTATACAATACCTTGTATATATATATAGCACGATTCCTAGGGTTCGCAAACTTTTCAACACTGGTTCCCAATTCAATCAAATTTAATGTTTTTGAAGTTAAAAAAGTATCATTTATATCTCTAAACATTTAATTTGAAAAACTAAAATAGTTTTTTTCTTTTTAAATTAAAGTTTAAGATATAAAGTTCATCTAAGTTTTAGAATTTAGAATATAAGATTTATAATTCATATTATTTTTAGTTCATAAATATTTAGATATTACAAATATTTTGTTAACTTTAATAAAACATTTTTTCTTTAAATTTAGAATTAAAAATATAATTAAATTAGTATTTTTACCAAAATATTTCTTGACAGAGAGGTAACTATTATTGATTTATTGAAATATTCATTTACAAAAAATGAGTTTTAACACGTGCTTTTAACAGTAAACTTTCGTACACATAAATTTGAGATGAAATCTTAGATGATGCATTTAAAAATAATTTTGTTTACAAATGGTGTATATAGCATTATTGTACTGATAGAATTGGCATTTAATGACTGCAAAATAAAGCCACGCATCACCGCTCCGTGGTGTACGCACCAGCGCTGAGGGAAGGTGTGAATATGGAAAGATTGGTATACGAAACAAAAATATCAATGACATGCTTCATGTGAGATAGAAATAGAAGAAGCAACAAACATGAGAGACGAACATAAGAGTGTTTTTGGGAGAGAATGATGCATAAATAAATAAAGAAAAAGTTAAAGGGTAGTTATAGGTAGATCATATTTGGAGGTTGAATTTGATAGGAATGAGAGGAAATTATTGAGCAAGATAGATATAGTTTTGGGGAGAGAGTAAGTAAGAGAGGAGAAGATGGCATAAGAGAGTAATAATGGTGCAGTGACAGAAGAAGAACTGTGTAGTATGTTTTGTGGGCAGAAAGATGGCAATTGTGTCTGTGTTGTTGAGTTGGCATTAGATGGTGTAAGTGAGTCCGTGAATGAATGAATGAATGACCTTCGTATTCTTTCACTAATCTTTGGGAAAAGGACACACTACGGCATGCAGTGTATTCTGTAGCTATGTGCATGCACCCCCTATCACGCATTTCTACCATGTACTCCATGATAAGATTGTCACATTGTTTTTTACTTCCTTCTTCTTTTACAGAGATATCAACTGTAACATAAATCATCATTATAAAAAAATGTGCACCATGCTTTTACCCTAAGCTTGGGGTTGCTTGTTTCTCTTTCTTTCCATCAAAACACGTACGATATAGGATCTCCTATTGATCCAAGATAATATAATATTATATAAGTAAATACAATCTTTATTAACAATTTTATAGAATTAAATTAAATATCTTATATTTTTAAAATAATATTATATTAGATAAATTAATTTTGTTCATATACTTCATAATTTTTAAAATAATATCAGATTTAACATACTAAAAACGTATTTTAAGAAATTTCAGATTAATTAAAAATATGATAAATTCTTAAAAATAAAAATAAAAGAACATAAGTTATACTCAATTTCAAAAAAAACATGATAAGTTGATGAGAAAAAAAAACAAATAAATTATAGTCAGCTTACAAAATTAATCCATTAAGATTTTGAGGAAGTAAACACATTTAAAATTAACAAAACTGACTATCAACACTTCTATAATTACTTTACATTTAATTTAGATTAAGTTTATTAATTGAGACTTAATTTATTTGAAATATTTTAATTAGGTATTTGAAAACTAAAACAATAAATTAACTTGAGTAAATGATCTTCTAACATTATTGAATCCCTAAAATTAATTTATGGATTGTAAAGTTAAATATGATCAATGAATCAGTAGTAAGAAGTTGATCACAAAGTTCAATGATGGGTTAAATCAGATATGGATAAAGTAATTTAAGATGAGACTTGAAGGTCAAATATTTAAATATTTTTTATTACGGAATAAAACTTTGAAAATAAAAAATCACGGTCACTTGCACCCGTAATCCACACAAATCACTGTTATTGATGACGAGCAAAAATTAACTAAAAAACTTAAAAAATAGATTATAAATCTTTAATTTAATAGGAAAACTTATCTAAGATTTTTTTTTCTAGAACATGAATCGATTTAAAAAAAGAAATCTCAATTATTTGTTTACAAATTTGCACTTTATTGTCACTGCTAACTGTTATACATTCGCTATATGTGTACACATGATGTCTTATCACATCCAGTTATAATTTTTTTTTTTTCATTCCTCTTTGAATTATTTGTGAAGCTTATATGTGTTATAGAGTGGAGAGGTAATGTACAGAATACTTTTAGGGTAATAATCATGTCCCCGATGTTTCCGCAAAATGTTTATATTTTTATTTACTATTTTTTGAAAGAACTGTAAAAAGAAAATTAAGAGACTTTTAGTCTTAAGCAAGCTGGAAATTCAATTACGAGTAATTAGTCTCACAGTAATTAATTATAAAATGTTCAATAATATATATATATATATATATATATATATATATATATATATATATATATAACATTAGATCTTGAATGAAAATATTTGATTCTAAAGTAATTATCTATAAAAGTGTAAGATTCCTGATCATCATAGTATCAAATCACCTCATATCTCAAATGATGAAGCTAAACCTATATTTCTAATCGAAAATATAAATATTTTTTTAATCTAATGATTAATAAAGTAAGGGTGTACATTAACACAAATTATGACCAGAGCGGGTTGAACTCAAAACACAGATAGGGGGTTGGAACCGCCGGATAATTGCTCAGATACCCCAAAAATAAAAGGTACAGAGAAAGCAGAAAAACCCAGTATGAGGAAAACAATGTTCAGATACCAAGAGGAGATAGAACAGAGAAAACTGGGAATGAACCCAGAATAAATTGCCCTGAACCCGAGGAGGGGGAAGGAAAAGAGGAAAGTAAAGACACACAAAAATAAATAAATTAAAACATGTTATAACTATTTATCTCTTCTGTCGGTCAAAGTGGCTACTTAGCTCACAGAGAACCCGAAATCAGACTAGCTAAAATGAAGACTGTCCGAGATAAAGTCGGTTATAGCAAGAAAAGTGTTCACCATAAGATTATGAGATGACCGAATCTGGCAGAGCCGGTTAGACATCTCCTCATAAACTTAAGCATGAACGAAATTAAATGCAGAAAAATAAAGACAGGAAAAATAAACACACAAGTCCATGATAAGATTATGAGATGACCGAATCTGGCATAGCCGGTTAGACATCTCCTCATAAGCTTATATGAACACAAAATAAAGCTGTACAAAAAATTATTTAAGCCTTTAAATGATTATCGCATCTTTTAATAAATAAAACTTAAGGCATTCGAGGACGCCCTTATAAGAAAACTACTCCATAAAGAGGGAGCAGAAAAAACTTACTCGGGGGAGAGGATGGAGAAAGAGAGGGGAGATGCTGAATATACTTCTCTTATTTATAGTAATAATTTACATAAGACGGGAGAAGAAGTAGAGAGAAGGAGGAGACACTACTACAAATAAGGTTTTCCACGTCGGTTCGGAAGGCCTTCAACGGCGGTTCCCGAATCGACGTTGAAAGACGTTGAAAGTCCTGACTTTCAAATCGAAAATTTTTATTTATTTCCAACCCCTCTCCCCTCTCTCTATTTATCTAGAAATCCCCCCTCTCTTTTATATTATATTTTTATTAGGTCACTCTCTCTTTTATATTATATTTTTATTATTTATCATCTTTTTTTAAAGTTTAGAGCATTACCAAATTAATTTTTTGTCAACGACAGGATTCAAACCCAGTACCTTAGTGTTGGAGGTCGATACTCCAACCACTAAACTACTCGAATTTTTTGATAATAACTTACAAATAAATTATATTTATATACAAATAAATATATATCCGTGTAAATATATAAATATATAAATACAAATATATTTATATATTTTGATATATTTATATAATTATATATTTATATGTTGGATGTGAGGGCACGCTCGAAGGTGAAAGTGTGTCGAGTGAGTTTTCAAAATTTGATGTCAAATTTGTGAGCGAGTCTCTTTATATGGGTTTGTAATTTAATGACAGAATATAATATTTATAATTTATTAATGATATAAAATAAATATGAGAAACGCATCATTCGCTCAAGCGAAAAATACCAATTTTCGCTCAAGCGAGGCTTGAACGAGTGAATTTCCGTGAGTTTTAACGTATTTTCACTCAAGCGATAGTCAAACTCACTTTCACCCTCGAACGCGCCTTCACATCCAACATATAAATATATAAATATATAAATATATAAATATATAAATATATTTATATTTATATATTCTATATTTATATATTTACACGAATATATATTTATATGTATATAAATATAATTTATTTGTAAATTATTATAAAAAAATTATAGTAGTTTAGTGGTTGAAGTATCAATTTTCAACTCTAAAATACTTGGGTTCAAAAAATCCTGTTAGTGACAATTCTCTAACTTAAGTAAATTTTTGGTTGAAAAAAAATAAAAACACTTTCCGAGAAAATATATATATTTACACGGATATATATTTATTTATATATAAATATAATTAATTTGTAAGTTATTATCGAGAAAATTACAGTAGTTTAGTGGTTAGAGTATCAACTTTTAACTCTAAAATACTTGGGTTTGAATCTGTCAGTGACAATTCTCGAACTTAAGTAAATTTTTGGTGAAAAAAAATAAAAACACTTTCCAGAAAATATATATAAATAAATATATATTTACACGGATATATATTTATTTGTATATAAATATAATTAATTTGTAAGTTATTATCGAGAAAATTACGGTAGTTTAGTGGTTGGAGTATCAACTTTCAACTCTAAAATACTGGGTTTGAATCTCGTCAATGACAATTCTTGAAATTAAGAGAATTTTTGGTGAAAACACATTCAATGTCGGTTCATCCGAGAGCCGAGCGTTGAATGTCTAAATTAAAAGACTTTCAACGTCGGTTCATCTAGAACCGAGCGTGGAAAGTGCTTTCTACGTCGGTTGACTAAGAACCGACGTAGAATGTGTCCAACATTCCACTTTCAACGTCGTTTTTTAACCAACCGACGTTGAAAGTGTATTTAACGTCGGCTCAGCTTTAACCGACGTTAAATGGCGACGTTGAAAGTATATTTTGTAGTAGTGAGAGGAGAGAGGGAAGCTCTTAAGATAATGCTTCTTACAAGAATGCTTCTTTGGGGAATGCTTCTTGCCCAACATAAAGGACTTATGAAGCATTATATAGAAAAACAAAAATATTAAAAGAATGAATAGTAATTGTACATGTGAAACCCACTTTAAGACTTATGGGTCTCAAAACTTAACAAAGAAGTAAATGAAAACCTACAGAGGAAAATCTCCTTACTAAAGAACAAAAATAGTAGCATCACTAAAAGACAAAAATAGTGACATTAATTAATAATTTTTTTTATATTTATCAAAAGACTGATTCAATCTTACCGTCATTAACATGCAGGGCTTAATGGGCCTAACAACATGTAACGGAAGAAGAATCGTGACAAGGTAGCAAGATATCATTATCTGTCATTAACCTTTGTCGTCTTTTGATACAGTCGTTATGACGTAAGGGCTTACGTCATGAGAAGCTCCTCGAAATCTTCAAGGGCAAAATGGTCTTTGTATGGCTAATGACGTGAGGGATTACGTCATTAGGAGTTCCTTGAAATCTTCAAGGGTAAAGTCGTCTTTATCAGAAAGACTCATTGGTTGTGGGGAGGTGGGATTTGTACAGTTCCGCCGTAAGTAAGAAGCTTTGCCGCGTCTTATCCAAAGACTGATAATGGAAGTTTCGGCTAAAAGCTCTTTGTTGATATCTTCATCTTGGAATTGATCATACCTCGCTGTAGTGAAGGGAGGATTATTATGATCAATCTTTTGGAGGTTATCACTGAAAAAGATGTCAGTGAATGACTCAATATCCAGAAACAAGTGATGTTTAGCTGAATAATATTCCCCTTTTATACTGTAAGGGTGTGTTGAGAATACTTCAATGAAATACTCTCTGTTGTAAACATTTAGAAAAAACACATTTATCCAATAATTTATCTTGG